ACTACTGTAATGCTCTCTACATGGGGCTCCCCTTGAAAAGCTCCCGGAGGCTCCAACTGGTCCAGAACGTAGCCGCGCAGGTGATTATGGGCGCAGCTCGTTACGCCCATGTAACACCTCTCCTACGCGAGCTGCACTGGCTCCTGGTGGTCTTCCGGGTGCGATTCAAGGTGTTATTTATCACCTTTAAAGCGCTCCATGGCTTAGGACCTGGGTACCTACGAGACCGTCTTTTGCCACCAATAGCCTCCCACCGACCAGTTCGTTCTCACAGGGAGGGACTACTCAGGGTACCGTCAGTCAAATTATGTCGACTGGCGACTCCCAGGGGGAGGGCCTTCTCTGTGAGGGCTCCAACCCTTTGGAATGCACTGCCCCCGGAAATACGGAATATCCCTGATCTCCGTGCTTTCCGCCGTGCCCTCAAGACCCTGATGTTCCAACAGGTGGGGCTAAACATATGAACATGTGAATGATTTTTTAAATGTGATCTAATTCTGGGTTTTATTTAATTGACCAAACTAAGTAATAATTTTAATTAGCAATTTTATGATGTTTGTGTGTCTATATTTTTCTTGACTGTACACGGCCTTGAGTCCTACGGGAGAAAGGCGGTATAGAAATATAATAAATAAATAAATAAATAAATAATAAATAAATAAATAAATAAATAAATAAATATTACCACATGTATTTTATCACTGCATTTTATTTTATCTATTTTATCACAGAATCAGATCATGTACTTTAATTTCATTTTTTTATATGGCCGTAAGACTAATCAATTAATAAACTGTTGCTATTACTATTTCCTCAGACATGTTGTACACTCATCCACTTATAATTATGTGACAGAGCAGCTGTTTGTTAAATTCTTGTGTTGTTGTTTCAAATGTGGAATTACATTAAATAATTACATTAATTGTTACTACCTTAAAAATACTGTACTGCTTGTGATAGAACTTCTTGCTGTTTAATCTAGTGCAGAAGATCCTTTGTCAGTGAAATCTGTAAGCAACATTCTTAAGAAGATTCCTTGACTGTGCTGTGTCAGCCATATCTATGGCAAGTGACATTGATTTAGAATTAATTAAAGATGGATCATCTATCTGGGAAAGAAGCTGTCTAGGCTGGGAAATTAAGCAGGGGTACCTCTAGTTAATCTGTAAGTGAGACCACCAAGGAATAACAATAGCACTTAGATTTATGTACCACTTCAGAGCATGTTACAGCCATCTCTAAGCAGCTGATAGAGTCAGCATATTGTCCCCAACAATCTGGGTCTTCATTTTACCAAACTCAAAAGGACGGAATGCTGAATCAACCTTGAGCCAGTGAGAATCAAACTGCCAAACTGTTGGCAATCAGCAGTCAGCAGATTTAGCCTGCAATACTGCATTCTAACTACTGCACCACCACAGCTCTTAACTAGGATTGTAGGCTTGATTGAGAAAAGTCAGAAAAAATTCTAGAAGAAGCCAATGGCAAACTTATTTCCATATCATAGCCAAAAAATCTATACAGACAAGTTTGCCAGGAAGGTACCAGAAAGTGGGAAAAGGCTTTATTTTTCATGATCCATCTAGGATGAAAAAAAGTGACATGCATAATTTATCTTTTGTCATTATTAATTCAGAAATAGGAAGAGCATAGGTACTTCAATCCGTTCTGGTTAATTTTAATAAATTATATGCATTAAGCTACGATATTCTTGGTTTCTGGCTTGAGAGGTGCATATTCAGTTCATTAGTGTATTTAATAAAAGACAATGGTTATGATTTCCCTTGCTCTATATCAGCATTCTGATAGCAATTAAAGATCAGATTCTCTGATCAGCTATACAGAGAATGAAAATATGAAATGGTCAGTCAGTGAATGTGAGAGACAAAAAAGACTGGCGTTTAGTTGCAGAGGGAAAGATATGGAAAAGAGCTTACTGAATTGGTGAGCTTACTGGTGTGGAAGTAAATAAATTTTCTTATCAACTGTAAGCTCGGTCAGTAATTGTTAACTGTTGGTAACAGCTGCCCTTCCATAATTACAATCAAGATTTAGTTGGTATGTAGTATTGTCAAAGATTTGAGCTTGACAGTGTAGCGTTGCTCATATTCCTAAAACTGTTAGTATTTTGAAAGATTCCGCTGAGATTGTTTAGAATAATTTGAAGTAAGCAAACAAAATCACATGTTTATATGTTTTAATACTATTGTCAATTACAATAAAGCTAACGGAATGTATATTGGGACCTTCAGATTATTCACTATAAACTTCATTTTCACTGTCAAAAACTATTCTTGTTTTGAGTAGGAAACTCATACTGCTGGTTATTAGAGAGAGCAGTTGAGAAACTTAGAGGTTGTGTATCTCTGCTAAAGATGATCTGCAATAAGCAGGTGGACTATATAACAGCAAATAGCACCCATTATTCTGTTCCATTGACTTAAGTGGTGCTTTTATAGCAGCATGGGGAAAAAGTGCACAGCATGCTAAGTCAGAAATGGAACTCCTTTCAATCCACCTTTCTAATTTTAATGTGTGACTGTTTTCATTAGCTGTTTTCATCTCCTTGATCTTGAATACACGGATTTCCACATAAAGTTTTTATTATAATTACCAGAGATGTAACAGAAATTTTATCAGGCCTGATGTACAGGTAGTCTTTGATTTATGACCACATTTGAAACCAAGATCTTAGTCATTGAGTGAAGTGGTCATTAAGCAACATGTCACGTGACTGCTTTGCTCAACAAACGTAATCCTGGCACTCCTGGTTAAGGTCATTAAGCAACCTCGCAGGTCATTAAATGGGCTAAATCCAAGGTAAGAAGCGTAGGGTGCCACATGAGGGGTGGGGGAGACCACTGAAAATTCTCCCTGCTGAAATCCATACAGGATTTTTCGGCACCTTGCACTCCTTTCCTTATCACACTGCCTCTCCCTTTAGGAACTGGAAATCCTTCCTGCTGAAATCCAATCCTCCCTCAGGATTTGAGCTCCATTTCTGCACCCCACTAAAAGAGTTCAGCTCTGTTCTATGTAGATGATGTCATTGTGTGCATGACATCACATGATCACAGGGCTCTTGGTAACTGGTTATAAATGTGAACAGGTTGCCAAACACCCAGATCACAATCATGTAACCACAGGAATGGTGATGCAACATTGTACAACAGCTGGAAGTGTTTATGCCAAAGCCCATATGATCGGCTTTTCAAGGTCATTGTAATTCCTGACCATCATTAAACAAAATAAAAGCATTATTAATAGCACTTAGACTTATGTACCGCTTCACAGTGCTTTACAGTCCTCTCTAAGCGGTTTATAGAATCTAGGATTACATGTACTTAATAGCCTGGATCATTTCACTATATGTATAATTCTACTGCCAATTGGATTGTTTTAGCGTTTTCAATATTTGCATTATTTTTTTTTCTAACAGCCAGGAACTTATGCATTAGTGACACTTTAGCAAGTGTCAAGATTGATAGGGAGAGATCCCTTAGTTGCTTTGGGGAGTTTTGACATTCACAGTTGTCTGATGACTAGAGTGAATTAACAGCTCTACTTCATCACTAAATGCAATGCAAATTCTATTGCTTTATATACAGTAATTCAGTTTTCCAAGGGACCTAGCACAGATGGGTGCTGCTTATATATCAGATTGCTTGGAGTTTTATAATAAATTCATGGCTAATAATCAGTTTCCCCAGCTTTAGTGTACAGTAAGTAGGGAATGTTTTTGAAGAATAAAAATAATCTTGTATAGCATCATCACTATTAAAACCCAAGATTATATATATATTGTTTTTCCTCTGCTGCTACTGGGAATAGAGAAATGAATGTATTATTCCATGATGCTGCTGGCAAAGGAACTTTTAGAAATAGCAACAATAGCAGCAGTAACAATTAATACTACCTCTAAGCTTTCTGTTGCATCTGTGCATGATTTACTCAGATGTCACCTTATTCTGGCTATGTTGCTACACAATGTGTTATTTTTCCTTGTTTCTTTTGATATTGTGATTAAATGATTCAGTCACACCCCAAACAGAGATGCATCAGAACCACCTGTTGTCAGCTGAATCTTTACAGTAACTTTGCAGAGTCAAGTGAAAGAGGGGGTGCTATTTGAAAACATCCCATTTTCATTTTAAGTTTTGGGAAATTCAGAGTTTTGCTTAATTAAGGAATCTAACCCTTTCTAAGCGTTTCCATTTCATAAAAACTATAGCATAGCTAAAGAGAATTTTATTAAACAATATATTTTGTGCTCTCTCATGATAAAGGTGGCCTATTTTATACCTTATGGAATTGACTTTTTTGCTTTCTCCATTGATAAATGAACTCTGCTCCATTTATACCACAAGTATGTAAAATATACTGCTTAATGTGCAATTATTAACATTAAACATAGACCTACCTTGTTTCACATGTGAAATAAATAAAATCGTTGAGAGAAATAGCTTACAGGGCCAAATGAAATTTCCAGAGAAATTAAATTCTTTTATCACTTGTAAAGGCAGATTTTGCTCTTTACAAAGTAAAATATGATTATTATTATTATTATTATTATTATTATTATTATTATTATTATTATAGTAAAATTGTGCAATAACCTTAAGCTTGCTAGTCCCATAATACATAGACTATATTCACTTCATAAATACCATTCCTTTTGGGCTTGTATAAACTACCTTCAGTATTGCTCACATTTTCTCAAGGGCTAACACTTTTTCTCTAAGTAAATATTATTTCACTTTAAATGAAATTGCAGCTATTTTGTTGAAGTATTTAGTGTTGTCTGGGGTCATTAGTGGATTATGCTTTTTTCCCATTATCTGTAAAGTTGTAATGAAGTAATACACTAAGCTTGAGAGAATTATCCTGGAGTTGGAAGAGGGGGCTAGTTCAGACAATAACTATTATTTAATCTCTAATGAAGCCTCTTAATTGTTTTTTGAACTTGTCTTATTTTTTTCTTTGTCCCTAAATTGAAATAGCTTCAATGGCTTTTAGACAACTATGAAACAGCAGAAGGAGTGAGCCTTCCCAGAAGCACTCTCTACAACCATTACCTGAGACACTGTCAGGAGCATAAATTGGACCCTGTCAATGCTGCTTCTTTTGGAAAACTCATACGGTCAATTTTCATGGGCCTACGGACCAGAAGATTGGGAACCAGGTCGGTGTAAGAAAATCAAGGTTTGGGGTATAAGTACTACTTCATCTAAGAGCAACTGTAATGCATTGAGGCCAACATTAGCATGTAAAAAGAATCTCATTAGGTCAAGTCAAAGTCTGATCAACAAGTCGCATAGCCTTTTCCCACTATAATTTAAGAAAGTAGTATTTATGGCATTGAGTCTGCAAGTGCAGTAAAGTCACTTAGGGAATAGTTGTCATTGATAGCTGCATTTGTTTTTGGACAAACTTTCAAAAAATTTGGAGTAAAAAAAATTTCTTGTGTAAAAATGTATTTCTCTTTAATTGTCCTGAATGTTATCGCATATTGTTTTAGTGTGTAACTCAGACGAGTAACATGAGAAAGAGAGAAACATATTGTCCGCATTTTCTACCCTAAGCATACTTTCATTTCCCCTTTTACGACCTTTTTCTAAGCTATAAATACTATGGTCTTCCGTAGTGTAATACTTTAGACATCTAATTATTTGGGGACGCTTTATGTACCTTTACCAGCTTTCCAGCTATTTTATTTTTGAGACCTAGTGGCTTAAAATGTACACAATATCCCCAAAGTGTTTGCATTACACAATAGTTTCACTTATTGGAAATGTAATTTTCAGTTTCTTTTGTAGTGATTTGTGACTTAGATTTTATTGCTGCCTGGCGGAATTTTTTAAAAGTTGACTTAACTTTTCCCCAAAACTCAAAGGGGGGATAATTACTGCTAGTTCAAAGCACATTAGTATGTTTTTGAGATTTGGGTTTTATGCTCCAGTGCAGATCATGTTATATTTAATTACATTAAACTGTATCTGCTATTTTAAGTTTATTCAGCTACTTCAGTCTTTATGAATAATTTGATATAATAAACAAATTGCAATCTCATTACTTGCCCCTAACTCCAGTGGTCACAAACAGAAATCCTTGGAGAGCCACTTTGTACGTGTCTTCCTTATAAAACTGGTCTATCCACACCTATTGATTCTTTTAATAATAATGTTCTACCAATACATATAGAATAAATGTCTAATGACAGGTAGTCCTAAATCTGCAACCACAATAGAGCCCAAAATTTATGTTGCTAAGTGAAACATTTGTTAAGTGAATTTTGCCCCATTTTACGATCTTTCTTGCCCCAGTGTTCATGTGAATCACTGCAGTTGTTAAGTTAGTAACATGGTTGTTAAGTGAAGCTGGCTTCCCCATGGGCTTCGCTTGTCATAAGGCTGCAAAAGGCAATCACATGACCCCGGGACATTGCAGTTGTCATAAATACATGCCAGTTTCCAAACCTCCCCACAGGAATGCTGCAAAAGGTCATAAGAATGAAAACAGTCATAAGTCACATTTTTCAGTGCCGTTGTAACTTTGAACAGTTCCTAAACAAATGGTTGTAAATTGAGGACTACCTGTAATACACATATTTTCTGCTGGCCTGAATTAAATCCCCCTCCTCCTAGGCTTTGCAAGTTGAGGTAGCCACATAAATAAGTTTTTGATGGCAATTCTATATAACAAATACAAAGTCTTAAAGTTTGTAAAGTGGCATTCAACCTTTGCTTCCCTCCAAATGTTTCTGCGCTTGTTAGGGTTGGGCGTTGCCTTAACTTGATTGTTTTAAGAGCTATGGAGGTCCAGGCCAGGTTCTAAGGCAAGACAGGAATCACACTATAATACGCTGCTTACCATTATTTAATTTTCTGCTTTTGGAGGCTGAGTGCTAATTTTAGGGAGTCATTGCTTTTTGTTACATACTACTTATGTATCTTTCACTGTATACTATCCAGAATTAGGGATTAGTTTATTTTTCAGATCAATTCAGATGCAACTAGAACAATGAATGTGAAGAATTCATTTACATCCCAACTCAATTTCCTTCAACGAATATAAACTTTTTTTTTTTAAAAAAAGTTTGTCTTATAATTCTTTTCCATATACCTCATAAAGTATTTTTCCCACTTTTTTGGAATCCTTTTTGCTTTTATTTGGGTAAAACCCATGTTTAAAAGAATTAATTTTTCTAAGAAATTCTTTGGCTATGCTACAATTCATAGTCATACTAATATCTTGGATTGGGTAATGTCAAGTTGATCTAACTATTCTTTTCAACTCTGCTTCTGTTGTTGTGATTTTAAATAAACTTCAAGCATGATAGAAAGGCTCTATCTGCAGGTGTAGTATACAGAAATTGAATCATGCAAATATACTTAGAAACAGAAACACTGCAGACATACAAAGACACATTTTCAAGACATGCCCAAGCTAGCGGTGATGGATTATCAGAACTGAAGAAGCTTCATGGATAAGAAGCAAAATGTTTTCAAAGAAAAAAAATCCAGTTGCCTTTTGGTAAAAAGTACCTTTGGGACAACCATGATCTGAATGATTAAGAATATCCATAGACAGTGACTGAGTAGGAAAGAGGATATGGGCATGGGGCAAATAGATTAAAAAAAACATTGACCCATTGTGTACCAGAGGGAATTGTATCAATTTATGGAGAGTAAATGTATTTATTTATTTGATTCAATTTATTTTGGTGCCATCTGATTCCAAATTGACTCTGGACAGCTTGCAGTACAGGAAAAACTGGATAAAATATAATAGGATAAAGAAAAATACAACAGAATAAATAAAGAAGATAGCAAATCCAGAAAGCCAACATGCAGAATTATACAACATATTATAAACATCCAACAAGGGGTTCCAAAAGTTATTAATAACTACAAGTCATTCTGAGTGTCAGTTGTAACAGGACAGTCAGCAAGTTAAACAGTGTTGCCTACATCTAGGACAATAAATGAGAAAAATATTATATTCAGATTCAAATTCTATACCAGTGATGGTGAACCTTTTTGGCACTAAGTGCCGAAAAGGTTGTGTGGAAACGGCACGCACGTATGTTTTGTTGTTTTTTTTAAATTTGATTTATATGCCGCCCTTCTCCGGAGACTCGGGGCGGCTTACAATGCGTTAAGCAATAGCCTTCATACTTTTGTATATTTTATACAAAGTCAGCTTATTGCCCCCACAAACTGGGTCCTCAATTTACCTACCTTAGAAAGGATGGAAGGCTGAGTCAACCTTGAGCCTGAGGAGATTTGAACTTACAGTAATTGCAGACAGCTGGTGTTAATCACAATGCTATTAGTCTGCTGAGCCACCAGAAAAGCCAAACTTCCAGGTTCTAGCATGCTCGTGTGCCTGACGATCAGCTGGCTGGCATGCATGCACAGGCCGGTTTTCAACACTGCCATGCGCACGAATGGATCACGCTCTGGAAAAGCTGAACTTCCGTGTTCTAGTGTGCATGCGCACCTGAAAATCAGCTGGCCGCCGTGCATGTGCACCCTGGCTTTCGCCACTGCTGTGCGCGCAAAGGACAGCTGATCATCGTGTGCACATGCGCACCAGAAACCCAGAATTCAAACAGGTAAGGCCGTGTGTGCTGGGCGACATGGCTTCACGTGCCACTTTGGGCACACCTGCCATAGGTTCGCCATCACGGTTCTATACCATTCATATTCTATACCATTCAGGTTATGGTTTCTCTGTAGATAGTTCTTTCACTGCTATAGAAACAGGATGCTAAACTTACCTAGTATTGCTTTTCTCATGTTCTCTAAATGTCCCTGTGAGAAATGAACATGCTCAGTGGTCTCCAGAGATCATGGAGTACAGTTAGAGTATGTGAATGGCTTTATGGAATACAGGATTTCAGCATGGCCAGCTAGTTAGAATCCCAAACAGGTGCTTTGTTTGGATGGCTATGAAAGGCAAGTGTGTTAGTAACCTAAATAAATCTCATATGTGTGTGTGAGTGTGTGCTCATATGGTACCTTCTGCTTGTTACCTTTTGTTTTGCTTAGAAGGGAGAGTTGGAATACCAGCCACTGCTCTGTGAGTTGCCTCTTTGGAAGCAGCCTTAACGCTAACATAGCTCAGGATCTGTGCTATTTCAGCAACATCCCAGTGGTTGTCTATTGATTGTTGGTTGCTTTTTCCCAAAGGGGGAATTCCAAATATCATTACTATGGGATTCGTGTCAAGCCAGACTCTCCTCTTAATCGACTACAAGAGGACATGCAATATATGGCTATGAGACAACAACCCATGCAGCAGAAACAAAGGTAAAGTATTCTTAAAATAAGTAGTTTGCATTTAGTAGATTTCAATGTTGGTAGGGAGAGGACATTGCAGTATCTGAATTATATGACAAATAAACTGGAGGGACAGGACCAGCAATTGTGGACTTTGATAAGTGGAATGTTTTTGATATGTACAGATAGTCCTTGCGTAATGACCTTAATTGGGCCTGGAATTTCCATCATTAAATGAAGCAGTTGTTAAGCAAAATATCATGTGACTGCACTGCTTAGCAACTGCTGGTCCAATGATCCCAGTTGCTGTTGTTAGGCAAGGACCTCATACTTCTCCTGCACTGCCACACTTGCCTCCACTTCAGTTCCCCCACCCACCTACCCTGTTTCCCCCAAAATAAGACATCCCCTGATAATAAGCCCAATTGGGCTTTTGAGCACATGGCAATAAGGCCTAACTCTTATTTCAGGGTTCAAAAAAATATAAGACAGGGTCTTATTTTGGGGGAAACACAGTATCTTCCCTCCTATCTCTGCCCTGTTGGCCGTCTTGCCCTGCCTACCGCTGCTGCTCCCAGCTAACTCTTGCCATCTTCTTTCTGCTGCTGTTGCCTTTTGCACCTAACTTAATGAATGGTTGTTAAGTGAGAGGATTACCTATATTGTAGCAATCAGAACTGGACATGGTATTCCTGGTGCAGTCTGACCAGTGGAGCAAAGAGTGGTACTATCACTTCCTGTGATTTCAACACTGTGCCTCTGTTGATGCAGCCCAAAACTACATTGGCTTTATTGGCAGTAGTGCCACATTGCTGGCTTATGCTTAATCCAGGGCACTTGGATTCTTCTCACAAGCATTATTGTCCTGTACCTTTTTCATCTAATTTTTTCTAAGTGCAGAACCTTACATTTCTCACCACTAAACTGAGCCTATCTTCAAGGTGTTAGCAATCCTTTCCCCCCAACTTTGTGTATTGTAAAAAACAAAACAAAAACCAACTACGTAGGTATGCTTGTGGAGTCACTGAGAAACATGTTTAAATTGAAGGAGATGTTATTGCTTAGGGATTATGTGCCTTGTTTATAATTAATAATATTAATCTGACTATCCCTGGTTCTTGGGTAGGACTTGATAGGTGGATAAAAATGCCAAATTTGGTGTAAATATCTGGTTGACTGTGCAACCAACCACAATAATAACATATGATGCTATTGTTTCTATAAAAAGAATTTCTTAACATTCTCAGTATTTTATCTTAATGGAATCCTCTCAGCTTGGCAAAACCTTTCATGTGATTGTGGGGATTGAACGAGACTGTTTTTAAATGAATATAGAAAACATGCTACTCTGGGTTTAGGATACCAATCTAACAAAAAAAAAAGTGATTGTTAATCAGAATATATCTGTGCAACAGTTGCATGAAAAATAAAAATAGCCCTGTTGGTTCAGGTCAAAGTTCACCCTGTCTAGGATTCTATTTTGTCCTCAGATGACTCTAGGGCATGGGTGTCAAACTGGTGGCCCACGGGCCAGATGCATCACACGCGGGCCACATTCACCCCAGCTCCGCGAGTGGGGAAAACATTGCGAAACGTCATGTGATGGCAGCATGACATGGCGAGTTTAACACCCCTGTTCTAAGATGATTGCAAGCAGGAGATGGAGATACACTTTTCTCTTGCTACTGTTTCCCTGCTAGAAATATTTCAGTGCTCCTTTCCACAAGAATTCCAGAGGCTATTCAAACCCTGTGTGAAAAAAGTCATAAGTCATAAGTTTATTTTGTCAAGCATATATAAGATAATGGGTAAAAGTATAAACACAATTTGAATACATGAAAAGAGTAAGTAAAAAGGAATATTAGGATAGAGATGGTAGGCACGCTGGTGCACTTATGCACGCCCCTTACAGACCTTTTAGGAATGGGGTGAGGTCAACAGTAGACAGTTTAAGGTTAAAGTTTCGGGGGTTTGGGGAAGAAATTACAGAGTCAGGTAGTGCATTCCAGGCATTGACCACTCTGTTACTGAAGTCATATTTTCTGCAATCAAGTTTGGAACGGTTTATTTGAGTTTGTATTTATTATTTGCTCATGTATTGTTGTGGTTGAAGCTGAAGTAGTCATTGACAGGAAGTACATTGTGGCAGATAATTTTATGTACTATGCTTAGGTCAGACTGAAGTTGGCGTAGTTCTAAGTTGTCTAAGCCCAAAATTTGAAGTCTGGTGGCATAAGGTATTTTATTGCAGTTAGAGGAATGGAGGACTCTTCTCGTAAAATATCTCTGGACTCTCTCGATTGTATTTATGTCAGATATGCAGTGCGGGTTCCAGACAGATGAGCTGTATTCAAGAATTGGTCTAGCAAATGTTTTGTATGCTCTAGTTAGTAGTACAACATTACCAGAGAAGAAGCTACGCAAGATTAGGTTAACAATTCTTAATGCCTTTTTGGCAATGTTGTTACAGTGGGCTCAGGCACTTAGATAATTAGAAATGAGTATTCCAAGGTCCTTGACAGAGTGAGGGTCTAAATCTCCTCCTCAGTTTCACTAGGCAACCTGGTCCCAAGTATTTCAAAAGAAGGGGGGAATTATATCCCTGTGCTCCATGCTATGCATAATTTTATATCCTCCAATCATATCCTTCTTGGTTTTTTCCCCCCAAGCTAAAAAATTCCAAAAAATTTACAAACTGATAAGAAACAACTTGATAGTTTTGATTGCTCTTTTGCATTTGTTTTATATCTTTTCCAAACACAGATTTATTGTAGCTTTATATGAGCATCACAATGCTGTCAGTTCTATTTTCAATCGCTTTCCAAATGTTTTTGAAACTGGAATTTTGCCTTCTTCATGGCTGCGACTCTCTGAACTGACATTTGCATTGAGCTATCCAGTATGATGGCAAGATCCCCCCGCCCCCGTTTAATTAAAATTCAGCTCAAATTGTATCAGTTTATACTTGAAGTCTTTGCTCCAATGTGCATCACTTGAATTAGAATTGCTATTTGGTTAATTACTGGTAGAGTTTAAAGAGGTCCTTCCGGGGCCTTTGCCACTCTGACCTCTGCAGATTTGGGTAGCTCACTGCATACTCCTATATCAAGATAATTTATAGACAAATTAAAAAGCCCCAACCCCAGTACAGATTTTTAACTGGGACTGAACTGTTGGCTGAGAAATTCTGCCCAATTGTTAATCACTTCATCCAGTGAGTTGACTGCAATTGTAGGTATTCTTTCTCTCAAACTGGGCATTAGAAGGGGAGGATATATTTTGCATATCCTAGTCAACCAGGGAAAACCACACAACCTCTCCCAGTTAGCCAAATAATCCTGTTAAATGTGTTTGTGCAATACAAACGTGACAATTTTGCATATAAAAGTCTATTTCTGTTTGCATGTTCTAGTTATGAGCTCCCAATTACCCTATCCTCTTTCTAAGGAATGCTGACTGGGACTCAGTGTTCCTAAAACTTTATTTTTTAAAACAGCTTATTATTTCAGTTTATTTGTTCTTTTTGGATGGCCACTTTTTTGTTATAATTAAGTGGTGAATACTCGAAAAGCTTCAGTCTATTCTGTGCTCTTTAAGAGGACCATTGATTGCAGTAGCTAGGTTAGTAAATATTTTGTGCTAGAACAAATTAGCCAAAATAGCAAACCCAGCTGCTCTGTACTGTTTTCATTTTCCATGTCTTCAGTTTAGCAGCACTGGAAAAAGAATTAACATTGACAAAGCATTAATTCAGTTTGGGAAAAGGGGCAGGCTCTTCTGTTATTTGTTGCAGTGCTGTCTGAAATCCTTTAGAAATAGTAATCTGTGATCTGTTTTAAAATTCACTGTTATAAGCAGTATCCTTTTAACTATATCTTTGAAGCCTCCTGACTTACTATTGCTCTGCTCTGCTCAGTTAGTTTGTTTTTAAATAGAGGCTGTTCTTGAATTTAGATATTATTTTCAAGTTAATTAATTTTGTGCAAATTTAATTATATTTAGTTACTAGTCTGGATCAAAGCTACAATGGGATCATCACGATATAATCATATTGGCCCAAGTACTGTATTTGAGCCTAGTTCCATTTCTGGCTCATCTACCTTCTTTAGTTTAACTGTAGGCATTAACTATAGTGGATACTGGCCTCTACCAAAGAAGTTGTTTCTTCCAAGGGAGAATCTGCCCCTTCTGCCTTCTCCACGTCTGTTTGGTGTGGGCTTTGGTAAGAGGTCTGATTTCTGCAGCCAAGATGTTGGCTATTTCCTACAACCTCTGAGCTCTGCAAGGGCCAAACTCTGTTACTTTTGCAGCTTGGGTTTATCTTTTCATGGAGTGTTTAATGAACTCCTTGAGTTTAAACCACATCCATTTGTATGGTTGTTACCCTTGTTTCGATACCCCACCTTTTTATAGATATCCCGCCTTTTTGTTCGATATCCCACCTCTGCCACCAATTTGTCATAGATTCTTTTAAGAATACCCAACCCGGATTGTGGGGACAATAAGCTGGCTTTGTATAAATGTACAAAAGTATGAAGGCTATTGCTTAATGCACTGTAAGCCGTCCTGAGTCTCCGGAGAAGGTCAGCATATAAATCAAATTAAAAAAAAAAAGTATAGCCAACTCAAACACAAAAGAGCCAGCACAGTGCAGATCCCCCTACATATACACTCATGCACACACTACTATAGGCAGTTCTAAATTTACAACCATTTATTTAGTCACCAAAGTTACAGCTTTGAAAAAAGTGATTGTCATGGTCATGTGACCAACATTCAAACACTTGGCAGCTGGTATGTATTTAGGATGGATGCAGTGTCCCTGAGTCATGTGATCACCTTTTGCCACCTTCTGACAAGCAAAATCAACAGGGAAACTGGATTCATTTAACAATCATGTTAATAATTTAACTGTAGTGATTCACTTAACAACTGTGGTAAGAAAAGTCATAAAATGGGGCAAAATTCATTTAACAACTGTCTTGTTAGCAACAGAAATTTTGGCTCAGTGGTGGTCATAAGTCCAGGACTATCTGTACGCACTACTCACCACTACTCCACTTTTCCCCACTGCTGCTACTCCTTCTCCACCTACTATTTCTTATCAGTCCTCCTATTCCTTGGGAATACTGCTACTTGGGAATTTTGCTAGAGAAAATTACCTTTATGGCTGCTTTAATTCCACACACAAATGCACCCTCCACCACCACCGCCCCTTTCAAATTGTCCTCTTTTAAAACTACTCAGCTTTTATAGCCAATTTTGCTGTGCTGGCTGGCTTAAAGATACAGGAGGACGGTAGCACAAATGCAGGGCATTTTCTGAGCAGCCTGCTTTTTCTCTCTCTTTTTCTCAACAAATTTGGATTTTGAAATAATTCATTTAACATGTTGATTTAATTGTCATGTAATAAACTTCTCTTCAAAGAATCCTTTAGAAGCAGCTAGGGACAGCTTGTAACATTTGCAGTAAAGCATTTCTAGGAAGGTTGCCATTTTCCATGTTTAACAGTAACTACAGACGTCTGTTAAACATAAAAAGGTATCTGTTTAATCATCTAAACAGCAATAGCAATAGCACGTAGACTTATATACTGCTTCACAGTGCTTTACAGCCCTCTCTAAGTGGTTTACAGAGACAGCATATTGCCCCCAACAATCTGGATCCTCATTTTACCCACCTCGGAAGGATGGAAGGCTGAGTCGACCTTGACCCTGGTGAGATTTGAACTGCCAAATTGCAGTCAGCCGGCAGTCAGCAGAAGTAGCCTGCAGTACTGCATTCTAACCACTGCGCCACCACGGCTCTTCAGTGGTTCCCAATCTTTTCTTTACCGTGTACCCCCTTTAAATACCTTTTGAGGCCATAGATCTTGGCCACGATGCACCAAGACTTCATTCAAGATTTAAATGATCACATTTCTTCAAACCTTTGTGGACCCCCTGTGACAGCATTGCGGGGGGAGGCCCCAGGGGTCCACGGACCACAGGTTGAGAACCACCGATCTAAATCATCATCCAGTTATTTCTATTCTCTTTCTAGAATAAGTGAGGTGAGTAAATACAGACTTGTAAAATAAAAAAATTAAGCTGAATTTCATGTCAATAGTTTGTAAAGAAACCAAGGTAAAACACAATCAATTCAGATTTTGCAACGGTCTGGATTGTACCTAGAGTGAAGTTTTTAAACGAACTGATTTATTTTGCAATAACTAGTATAGTATCTCTGTAAGATATATATATGACATTGTAAGAATGATCAGAGTGCAAATGATTATGCATGTATGGAATGTGAATTTGTGACAAGATAACACTATGTCTTAAGTATGTTTGTGGAAATGTTTTTATTTTTTTATTTTTGCCTGTAAATTTGAAGGCTTAAATTCAGGCTAAGTTAGTCATGCTTAAACTTCAGTTCAGCAGATTTTATTTCTGTGGGACCAGCAGCAATTTATACCTTTTTTCGGTATAAATGTGATACCATCATGCATGTAAAAAAAGGATTAGGCTTGCATTGCAGTACTGCTTCCATCACTGTTGCTTGAGTCCAGACTAGAAGGCCTCCAAGGCCCCTTCCAACTCTGCTATTCTATTCTGTTCTGTTCCGTTCTGTTCCGTTCTGTTCCGTTCCAATTAGATTCATGGAAAGAATATGGATCATGTCCTGATTAATTCAAATGCAACTGTTTTCAGTGAGTCAAGTATAAGCATAAATAAACTTGAGTGAATTCAATACATCATGGAGAAAAGCTTATATGGACTGGGTAGGCAAAAGTCACAGATTGAGACCTGAGTTAAGGGTGTTTTAGGCCACCATTTTGAATATATGACCAAGACGTGTCATGGTTATAGGAAGAGTAAAAGATGATAAACAAGAAGTAAAAAAAAGTATGTTAGAGAAAATTGATGATGGAGGAAGAGGATCAATTCCATAGCTGTAATTTTTCAAATTTCAAAATGCTCACTAACACAAAAGACATGGGAGTAATAATTCTAATCTACAACTCTACAGTACTGAAGGCTAGTATTACAGTATTTGGTTGCAAAACTACTATACCACACTTTCTTAATTTTTCCTATAAATTCTGGAATTGTTTTTATTGTGATAAACAAGTATAGTCTTAAAACAGTTGTTACTTTGATTTGATATTGTTAAACTTATGGTTTGAGTTACCAAATGGAATGATTAACGCAGAGGCAACCTGCGTTAATTTCTTAAAGAGGCAACCTCTTTAAGAAATGAATACAGTTTATGCTTTTGAGGTCAGGTTGAAGCTGCCATGAAATTACTATCATTTTAACTATTTATAGACAGATATAGAAACTGTGTTATTGTCAACATAGCTACTATAGCTACTGTATTTTAAACAGCGCTTATAGCAATATATTGGTTTTGTTTCTGTGCTTTCTCAAAGTCACTTTAAAATATACTGGTTTCTTTCTCTAAACTATGAATTTATATTATTGTCAAGTTTCGAGGTCGTCAAGCTGCATTTACTCTAGTGCTGACAATTATAACTATTAGATTCCTGCCTTTGTTGAGATTTATTTGTTTGTTTATTTGCCTGCATTTGTATACTACTTACTTGGATTTTCCCACTACGTATGTCCACAAAACTATATTATGATATTGGTGAAAAGCATTCCCTTGCAGGTTATAGAATAACGGAATCAGGATCTTCTAAATAAGGGGTGGGGATGGGGGACTGAAGAAGTCATTGCCAAAGAAACTAATCTCTCACTGCTTTCCCACTGAAGGTAATTTCAGTGTTTCGGCTACCAAAGCTGCCTAACCAATTGGGTAAAGAAGCAAAATTAGGCATTTTATTTATGTATTTATATGTCATGCTTCTACACTACTCATCTTCTTCAGGGAATAGTGCAAAGGCCATTAATACTGGACAATACCTACACCAGCTAAGAAGAACGGAAAATATTTCCATTTCTACTACCTCTTCTTAAAAGTTGGAGGTTTAAAATGTCAGCCTTCTGACATATTGAAGAGGACAAACGTAGTCAAAATAAAAATATTTACTTCCTGGTTTTTTTCTCTGTATATAGCAATAGGTGTCTTCCCTTCTCAGAGGTAGACCAGAACAATTTAAGAAAGTATGTAAATACCATTATGCCTTTAAACGGGTAAAGGCTAAAGGAATAACTAGGAAATACAAAAGTTGGAACTTTAAATATATCTTATTTGCCTAGTAGCTGATTAACTCAAATGATTGGATCACTTGTATTTGTCATAAAGATGTGCATGCTTCTCTAGCTGAGAGGGAACTAAGACTGTAGTTGCTGCCTCAAGAAGGAATGGAAGAAGTATAGGATTTCGCTGAACTTGGTTAGAACTCAATGGTCTCACATGGAATGTAAAAAAAGGCCAGCGGGCCGCTCAACAAGCTTTCTTCCTGAGCTTCTTTCCTTAGCTATTTCTCTTTTTCAGATCATGTGGGAAATGAATTGACAACTGGGGAGAGAACCAAGTGTTTTTGGGGAACACACTGGTGTCAATCTGTGGATCTGCTCTACTATGTTAATTAAGAGAATCCACATAATGAAGGGTAGCAAGCTGTTCATTTTAAATAAATAGCTGGAAGATGCTGGAAATTGATATGTGCAGTTTGAACCCACACTGAAAAATTAAAGCTAATTCAATTCTGTAATTATCTAATAATCCATTTGCTTACTGTATAATGTTAAAAGAATTCAAAGCTATCTGTAATCATCCAGCTTACACACACACTACATGAGGTACCAATAGAAAAGCGAATGCTGACATTTATGCTGAACAGTAGTTACCGGTATCTTTTTACTGCTTATTTGATGGAAGGCATCACAAACATTTCTGAAAGCAATATAAAGATATGTCATTTTTCTGGGGGGAAAAAAACTATAATAATCTTATAAATGCTATGTTGCCTATGTTGCCTTTAATATATTTTAGGTACAAACCTATGCAGAAAGTGGATGGAGTCTCAGATGGTTTTACAACAAGTGGTCAGCAAACAGGCACATCTGTTGAACAAACTGTGATTGCTCAAAGTCAGCATCATCAACAATTTTTAGGTATGTGGAAAAAGAAACGTGGTCATCTTTAGCTAAAATACAGAACAGGGGTGGTTTTTTCCAATAATCCATTGTAATTAATAAGACTATTTTAGTGAATTTAATAGGATTGCTTCAACTTGATAACAAAACAGGTGTTGAATGTTTCATTAGGTTTGTAGGTCAAGTGCACTTTCTGACATCCTTTTGTTGTTGTACTGGAGAATAACACTGTTTTACTCCTCTGATCTATGATTGTACTCTCTGAAATATGTTAATTTAAAGCAAGGCTGGGAATTTCTAGATGTTGCTGAACTGTACTAGCATGTCTGATTACGCTGGCTGGAATGTAAAATCTATAGCTGTCAGGAGCAAAAGTTCAAGTCCTGATGTCCAATTAATGATTTATTGCTAAAAACCTATGCACAGAAAGTTTCTCAAGTAATGGTTATCACCTGTTTGGAGTTAGATAAGGGGCAACAGAATTCAAGAGAGGTTGGAGTTAGTTCAGTTGTGGCTATGTAAGGATTCTAGACTGATCCCCCTTTTAACTCTGCTCCTAGGTTCTTTTCCTAAAGGAGCTTAGCAACATCAGATGGTCTCAATATAGTTTTAAAAAACCAAAACAAAGGGTAGATAAGGATATATCAGTGCTATTGCTAAAATATTGCCTTTGCACAAATATGTGCAATATGAACTACTTTAGAATTATTTGTTCTCTGAATCAGTTAATCACTGATTGTTTGTGTACACTCACACATATATGTATACATATATACAGTTATTGATCTATATCAATAATACCACTTTCACATAACACCATATTGAATATTCAAGGCTATTGAGAGTTGTATTTTTTTTCAGTTGGGCAATTCATAGTTTAAGAGTCAAATCTAACACATTAATAAAATGTAGATGCAGCAGTGGGAAAGAGATAATTAAATGATGACTATCTTGGCTCAGCCAAAACTGGCATACAGAGAGATAAGGTAGTCCTGTCAGAAGATGCCATACCTGAGAAGAGAGCAAATTAGGATGCACTGCCTGAGAAAATTAAAGTTCCCTGTCTTTGAGGCTAAATTTTCAAGAATTGATACTGTTTTCTTCAATGGCATTGAGTCTAACAAACTGGGCATGCCACAGATGTAATATTTTAGTGAACCTCTATTATTGCAGGCAATAACTCTGAAGAAATTCATCCTGGCTAGAGAGAATTTAGTTAAATATATGGGAATTCTACTAAACCAAGTCTGTTATTGAGTTTGGCCGAGGGCAACTGTTAAGATGCATTCAAATCAAATCCATTTATTTTGCAGTCATTAACTAAGGCAAATATAATAACAGGCATAAAGAAGAGACTAAAAGGATTACAATTGGTGACTTTAAGACACTTTATTTCTATATCTCAATTGAGAAGTCATTAAGCAAATGCAATTTTAGCTGTGTGAATTTTAGAATGCATTTCTCAGTTCAAGGGAAATAAAAGCTGTGCTTTGTTCTGTAATGATTAGATCTTATCTGAAGTGATGTACTCACTTTTAGCTTCACTTTTAAATAGATGTAAATATATTAGAATGGGGTAGATGAGGTCATTGAAAATGATCAATGATATATAAAACATAATTATATGAGGAAAGATGGGGAAAATTGTATATGTTTGTACTGGAGGAAAAAGGAATAGCATGAGACCACTGTTCATATACCTAGAAAACTGACATATATAACAGGCAGAAATATCTTTTATAATTCCCAATAGATTTGGACTAGTTCCAATGGATTGAATTTAAAAGAGGTTAGAATGTAATAGAACATTAGGAGAAACATTTCCCTCTTTGAACATATTCTAGCTCTGTATTTCCTGTTTAAAATCACATCCTTTCAACATTTATTTTATTATTCCACTGAATGCAGCACATGTTCAACAGATTTGGTTATTTTGTTTAAAATATTTAATTTAGAATTATAGACCCTTGATTCAAACTGCAAACAAATTAAATTATACATCATCTTGCCAAATATTTCTGCTTTTGGTTTTGAATCCAATACATAGGCCTTTTGGGTATTTATTTCTTAATATTATTCATTGTTTTCTTAATTATATTATGACTGACACAGTCCACAATATATTTCTTCTATTGGGTTGTCATGGATACAGATGCATCTCGAGCACTTCCAGATTTTGGAGAAGTTGAAATCCCTTCGCTGCCAGATGGTACTACTTTTGAGGATATTAAGTCTTTACAGAGTCTCTATCGAGAACACTGTGAGGTAAGGAAGAGGGACTCTACAAAACAAGTCATTTTACCTTTGAGTCCCTCTTATAAAATATAAAATCCCAATTGTCTCCATTCCTTCCTGGTTCTGTTTTCTGAAAACGTTGCTAAGTGAAATAATGCTTCACATAATATATATTGTATGTCTAAAACGCTTTGGGTGTAGCCAAAGAATAGAAAGCTGGTTTTGCTTTTTAAAGTCTTCTTTGCATTATGTTAAGTTCTGCCATCATAAAGATCAGTCATGGTTAAGCTGTGGCAAAATGGAAGACGCCAGATGTAAAACAAAATCAGTGTTGCAAACAAAATTGCCTCAAACACTGCTGAAAGATCTGAAGCATTATATGATTATTGGATGAAGCAATTATTTTAACGTGAATTATTTAGAGAATAGTTGAGGGACCTGGCGTACATTCTAGAATGTGGGGAGAGAGAAGCCCAATGCCATTAGCCCATCACCATGAGCCATGGTGGCGGAGAAGTTAGAATGCAGTACTGCAGGCTACCTCTGCTGACTGTCAGCTGCAATTTGGCAGTTTGATTCTCACCAGCTCAAGGTTGACTCAGCCTTCCATCCTTCTGAGGTGGGTAAAATGAGGACCCAGATTGTTGGGGGCAATATGCTGACTCTGTAAACCGCTTAGAGAGGGCGGTAAAGCACTATGAAGCGGTATATAAATCTAAGTGCTATTGCTGTTGTTATTAGAACTTATTCTCACCTTTGCACATCGAGCACAGCTACTACCAGAGGATTGGGGAATGATCCAAAAGATCTGGAAAACATCAGGCTACTCACTTCTGTTGCAGAAGGTGATGGATTCAAGAATTACTTTGTACTTTATGAGGAGAGCTTCTTCTGCTGTCTAGAACGTCACTCAATTGTTAATAGGTGGACAGTGTCAACTTAGACATCAACTTTGTCTTCTTTCTCAGTTGATAATTATGGAACTCCTTTAAAATTACTACTTAGCTGACATCATTCAATTTATGTAGGTCAGCCTTTCCATTATCATTTATTGTCTATATTTTTACTGAACTTCTGTGTAAGGCAGGATATATTTTTTTCTTCATATCAGAAATTATTATAAGGATAATCCTTGTGAATGCCATGTAATAAGTCTGTTTATGAAAATGACCAATCGAATGACCCAGCTACTGCATAATTGTGCAGTGCGAAAAAAATTTATTCGGAAATGAGTCCCACTGAGCTTGCTGGGGTTTATTTCCTTATAAACTGCAGCCATGGTATTTATCATTAAATAAAGACAAAATGCAAACCGGTATTTGCTTTGGATTTTCAGGCAATATTGGATGTTGTAGTGAACCTTCAGTTTAGCCTAATAGAAAAATTGTGGCAGACTTTTTGGCGCTATTCTCCCTCAACCACAACTGATGGCACTACTATCACTGAGCCAAGGTTAGTATTTACCTTAGACCTTGGGTATTCGGTTTATAAATAAACAAAACAAAATCTACCTTTTACATCCAAAGGAATGCTGGCCTTTAAATTATTAAAATAAAAAGTTTCATTTTATTATGAGGACTGCAGCATTTAGTTGTATGCATATCATTTTATTTTCTGCGAATAGGACCGAGTTATTTTCTCATGGGATAATTCCAAATTCAAAGCCCATTCTTATCACTGCTGCATACAACTGTGCACCTTGGTTAAAACTATGGAGGCCATGTATCAGCCATTACAGCACAAAACGCCTCAGGGCAACTAAGTGTGTTTCAGACATCTCGAATGTTTTATTTGTAAAAGCTTTGAAATCCATTGTTCTTTTTTAATCTTCATGTAAATGCATTTTCATTTATTCATTTAATACATTTGTTCACACCAGCAATCTGAGTGAAATAGAAAGTCGACTTCCGAAAGCAAAGCTGATAACTCTGTGCAAAAATGAGTCAATTCTGAAATGGATGTGTAACTGTGACCATGTGATGTACCAGGCTTTGGTGGAGATTCTCATTCCTGACGTCCTTAGACCTATTCCTAGTAAGTTGAATATAGATGACGTCTTGTAAGGATTTTTTTTTTCCTACTGGTGATCTTTTGCCTACTGTACCTCCCAAGGAACCCGTTAGGAATGATTTTCAAAGCTATAGAAATAGTGTGAGTATAATCATTTTTTATCTGGAGTGTAGAAAAATACACCATACAGTAAATGTTTGACCGCTCTTTTTAAACCTAGATTTCAACATCTAGCAGATACTACTTGAATTGTGGGGTTGGGGTTTTTTGGGTGCGATGAAGCAAATTCTTTGCTTTATGGAGCAAAAGAAATATTCCTTGAATTTTTTTCCTGGTCTATGAAATAGATGTGAGGATTCAAATAGTTGTGGGGTTTTTTGTCAAATTTATTTTATATTTTTCCAACTTCAACTAGGAAAGCTAGCCAGCTAGCCTATAGTGCTAAATCTCCAACTGTGTAATGTGTCTGTGGTACTTTCTCGCCAAAAGAAAGCTTTTTGGTATATTATTGGCAAATGCTACAACTGTATTTTCTCTCCTTGCATGGTTATATCACAATCTGTGTCAGTATACTTACAGAAGAAGGTGTGACCCATCTAAATTCAGTATTTCAATCCATCCCAACCTTGACACAGATGTAGCATTAATGTTTTCTTTCACCATTAATTTTTCAAGTTTCTCAATCTTTTAAAAATGCAGCATCTGCTTGCAAATATTATAGGTTGATTAGCCATCCATTGTTGAAAAAAAAAATCTTTTAAGAGGAGAGTTTCCTTTTCAGTGAGGCAATTATTTAGGCCAATGCAGTGTAGTTTGTTGTTCCATTCAGAAAGTTGATTTACTGTGGTTTTTAACAAAACACATTTCTATTATAAAACATTATCTAAGCATTATAATAAATATTGAATTTTCATCCCATTAATAGTAATAGTCAATAGTTTTGAGAGGAAAAAAATCGATATAATTGCACACTCATTGTGTTCTATGAACAGTTATTTTGTAATTCAGTTAGATGCACTTGTTTCTCCAAGTGATCTGTAACATATAAAGCATTTTTCTTTTGAAGCCAGTAGAAATGTTACTATGGTAATTGTTATAAACATTCAGAAAATGTGTATCCATCTTCGAAGGAGAGTACACCTCTTTCACTTATGAAAGAGACTGAATAAAACCTTGCTATTTATATTATTTTTCGTATAATGTGAGTGTTCTTATGGAGCACAGTCAGTCCATATGTCAATGATGTCTTCTGTATTGTTCTAAAATTGAAGAGTTGCTATAACCAAACACATGGAAATTCTGTTTGTTTTAACCCCTGAAAGCCACAGACAACATTATTTAACATTTGAAATCTAAATACCAACATTTGCTGTCGTCTAAAAATTATGGTAATTTGAATGACATCTATGAGGTTAAATGAATATTAACTGAAGTAGCAACAACAATTTGCAGATGATATTTATTCCTGGTTATTTACAATTAGTCAAGAATTGGATCTGTGTTTTCATTCTGTTCCATTAAAGGTGTTTTTTTCTCCATTCTGTTACTTGTTTGTTTTGTAATTTATCAAGAAGCTAGCAATTGTTGAGCACCATGTTGTTAAAATTCAGGATGTACTCAGACTGCTGAATTTGAGGGCAAAAGAAGAAGTTTTGTTTCATTGACATCTTTAAGTCACCTTCTCCAGGTGACTTCATCCAGCAGCTTGATAGAGATATTAAAGTGTATGTTGAGACTTTGTAGACTCTACACCTTAAGCAGTATCTAATCCAGCTGCAGTTCCTTTGTGTTACATTTTGAAATTGATCCTGCAGATATCAGTGAAATATTATATGACAGGACACCTCTCCCCTTCCCAATATTCATTGCACTAATATCCTGCCTTTTTAAAGACAGAGAGAGAAAGAGAGACAGAGGGAGAGGTGGGAGGGAGGGAGCTAAAGATCCATTATAGCAGGACTATCAAACTCGTGTCCTGCGGGGCGGATGCATCATGTGCTGGCCATACCCATGCCCAGTTTAGTGAAGGGGGGGGGAAGTCCCGATACATCATGTGACGCCGCTGTGACAACATGAGTTTGACACCCCTGGGTTATAGGGAACATGGTGTTTGTCCCCCAACATCAACTTATTAGGTTGGCTGTACTGAGAATGAATTCTGTGGTGGACTAAGGATTTGAAACTAATTTTCCATAATCCACAACCAATACCTTCATTATTGCTATATTGTTGGGGTTATGCAGCCCCAATTAGCCTATTATTAAGTCATCCAGATATCATATCATAAAGTGATGCACAAGAGTATCACTACAGATCAAGAGAATGGATTTCAGACCAATGATTAAAAAGATGGTGGGAGAAGGGAAAATGTTACTGTCTCGGCCACTTTCCTAGTCATTGGCTTGACAAACTCTAGTGCTATATTTCTCTTTGACTGTTCTCTTTTACTTAAATAATTAAGTAATCCCATTCAGTGATTTCTTTGGCCAGCACATAATTGGCATCTAGAGAAGATGAGAAGAGAGAATAGTTGAATGAATAAAGCAAACTTACAAGGGGAGCTAGAACTTTTGGAAGACTGCTTTTCATAAAATGCACATACACAGAACACGAAACCAAATTAACCATGAAGTTCAAATGATGGTAGCTCTAATAAAATAATTGATCATATTTACTCAAGTATAAGATAAATTAAGGTTGTTCTCCAAAAAGAGAAAAAAAAGAATGAGACAAAACATATTGTAAACCTATATCATGGTCATCTTTCTTACTACAGGTAATCTTTGACTTCCAACTACTCGTTTACTGACCTTTTGAAGTTACAATGGCACTGAAAAAAGTGACTTATGACCATTTTCAGACACTTAGTAATTGGCATGTATTTATAATGATTGCAATGTTTTGGGGTCATGTGATGACCTTTTGCGACCTTCTGACAAGCAAAGTCAATGGGAAACCCAGATTCACTTAACAACTGTTTTACTAACTTAATCACTGCAGAGATTCACTTAACAACTGTGGCAAGAAAGGTTGTAAAATGAATCAAAACTCACTTAACAACTGTCTTGCTTATCAGCAGAAATTTTAGGTTCAATTGTGGTTTTAAGTCAAGGATTACCTGTATATCTGCTTGGTTGCCAACTCTTGCTGAAACTGATCCTGAAGATTTTCTCCTCAGTAAATCTGTGCATGTGACGTATATCTATGTGTACATAGATGAGTATATATATATATATACCCTGGTGAGAAAATACATTTCAAAAAAGGCTAATGTCAGAATTAAAAATTCAGATGATGATGATGATGACATATTCATGGTGTATGTGTTTGTCAAATTAATAAGTGCTAAGCTAATTGAGTAAAATAAGGAAACGCTTATGAGTTTTAATCCTACCACAGTTTGCTGCTCTTGAAAGAGGAACAGGATCAGAGCATACTACCCCAGCTCCTCTCCTTGCCTCCAGATCTGGAAAGTTACAGTCTGCATTGAAACAGAAAGAGGAGGAAACCGCAACTTTCATTTCTGTCTCCCTGAGAATGCGAGCTCTAGAAAAATGCATGGAGTTCCCCAGTTGAAGGGGCTGTTGGTAGTCAATTCCATTTGTTCTTCCCACTGGTGCAGAGGAGATAAGGGTGGCTTCTTACAACTCTACTTCAGTCACTCACTTGCATTACAGGTAGTCCTCAACTTATGACCACAATATGACCACAACAGTTTCTGTTACTAGGTCAGTGATGGGTCGCTACTGGTTTGCCCTGGTTTGGGTGGATCAGTAGTGGTGAGAGGCTCCGCTTACCCTCCCAGATGTCATCAAAAACACTCTGAGCATGCGCAGAACCGCGCGCTCCCGGTAGCGAACCGGTAGCACCGGGATTTGAAACCCACTACTGTGCTAAGTGAGACATTTGTTAAGTGAATTTTGCCCCATTTTACTATCTTTTCTTGTCACAGTCGTTAAGTGAATCACTGCAGCTGTTATTTTAGTAGCACTGTTGTTAAGTGAATCTGGCTTCCCCATTGACTTTCCTTGTCAGAAGCTCTCAAAAGGTGATCCTGTGACCCCAGGATACTGCAACTGTCATAAATATGAACTAGTTGCCAAGCATCCAAATTTTGATCACGTAACCATGGGGATGCTGCAATTGTTGTAAGTGTGAAAAGCAGCCATAAGTCACTTTTTTTCAGTGCCATTGTAATTTCGGACAGTCACTAAACGAATTGCACCTTCCCCATATCCCTTGCTTTCTGTATTATTTCTTTTGGCTTGCGTATGTTAGATTCTCTTCTGCTTCAAAGATTATTGTATGGGGACAGTGCAATCCATATTCCTCTCTGGAAAATATAGTAGTGAATAATTTAAGCAGCAGGAATACTCTCTGATCTGATGTTGAAGTCTCATATGAGAGTTCCTCATAACAACAATCAGAATAATCTGCTAAAATTCAGATGGGTGATGTTCTGCACACACACAAACAGACAGCCAGGAGTTAATGAATCAAACAGTCAGGAATTCCTTTAAGATAACAGTCTTGGCAGCAAACCATTAATTGCCTGCCAAGAGATTTTACTCAATAAGGGAGGTTTTTTCTCCTCAGTCCGATATACCAAATTAATTCCACAAAGCAAAGTATTGTCAAAGTCCAGTCTGAAGAAATCCAAAAAGAGATTCTAACAGGATTCTAGAAACACGATATGACTTCCAAGCTTTTCAATTTGTCCGTCAAAAGGCCTGAATAGCTGACACACCCCCTTTTATCCCTTGTGGGGTGTGGTCCAGTGACTCAGCTCAATCTCTGGCCCGCCCATGCCTTTTTCTCTGCTGCACGTGCTTATCTTTCCGACACTGTCTGGGATCCAGCCAAAACTCATCCCCCTCACTCTCTATCTGCGGCTGCTCCTAAGTGCCTTGCTCCTGGCATATCTCTTGGCCTTCGGAAGAAACCTGAGGCATTGCCAGAGAGCAGGGTCCTAGAGAGGGAGGCCTTGCCAAATCCTCTCCTTCACCTTCTGAGTCCTCTTGCTC